AGGACATCAATTCAGCTTATCGTTTATCAAAACGAACCCTGCTGTAATCCCAACCCTCCTACCCAACATCCATCGAATTTTCAAAGCTTTAGTGTTCGATACAAAAACAAAACTAAGCAGCGGTTAATCTCTTGAAACGTATTATGGTGAAGGATATGATTGATGTCTGCGAGCTGGAGGCCCTCTCTAAATTAGGGGCCCTGACTTAGCCCACCACCGCCCTACCGTTAATGCGGCACTAACGTAGCGCAACCAACATCCGTCTATGAGATAAATCAACCGACTCGCATAGCTAGCTGATATAGCTTCCTCCATGTGAAATGCCATTCGAAAACATGAAACACGCAATTCTCAGCGAGATCTACATACAAAAAATCCCCAAAACCCAATATCGCAGGCACTGAATCCGAACAGTAGCAGAGCGAGCAGTGCATCAAGCTGTTCTGTCAACAGAGCGGCACCACTCGATTGGAAATCAACCACACCACCTATGGCGACCAGACTGACAAGCTCTCTTGAATAGAACGGCCACCCGCGCACTCCTCATTGAAATCCCGTGTGTCAATATAGTGTCTACGCTCATCTGATAGAAATGTGTGGCCAAGGGATGAAGCTTCCACATGGGGCCCGCTGATTCGGCATCAGCGGAACACCACGCGAGTTCGGTCGTGTGTAAACACATAACTTTTCCGCTAACTGTCCACATAATGAAACGAGTGGCCTGCCGGTCCCGGACAATAAATCTCTATTTAGCGTTGCTTTGCGGTGAATTAATGGTTGCAATGCTATATTTTCACAACCTATCTCTAGAGACAGGGAGAAAGGTCTGGTTTCCGCTTTCACCAGCAATTTCCCACAGAATTGAACTGGGCATGGCGTAGGAAAGGGGGGGGAGTAATTCTGCCGGTGACACTCAACCGAGATGGTGCAATTTTTGGTTTCTTCCTCGCCGGACCCTAGATCTTCTAATTACAAATCAAGATTTATGTTGCTGGGGTGCGGGGTTTTGTTTATTTCAGTATCCGTACTTTTTTGTCTGGCCTACACGCTTTGTTCGTTACCAACCATTTAAAAACGACACGAAAATAACGATTTCCCTTTACTCTCTCAACCGCCCGACGACAACACACAATGGATCCCTCCATCCATGAACGACCTCGTTAAAAAGTAGTTAAAGTATCTTTCTCATTTACAAAGTTTTTCCTCCGCACCGGCTGCTGATGGCTGGTTCTTTCCAAACAGCAGCACCAGTCAAGTCACCGTTGTTGGCGAGCTTCTGAGAAGGATTACTTACGTTCAGAAATGGTAATGTCCAGCACGCAGGCCAGGGATAAACCTTCGCACAAAGAAGGGAGCACTTTTAAATGGTGTTTTGAGCTGGATTAACGATTTCACGGTGCTTTGTCGACAAGGGTTTTTCAAGATGACGACATAATCGGTGGGAAAATGTCGTTTTTCTAGCCGGGGTAATGTCCGAGGTAGGTGGTAGGCATCACTAATTAGTGTTGGACAACGGTGGAAAAAAATTGAGCTAGGCTTTTCACACCATCGGTGGACTGCTGAAAGGGTCCCGTGGGTCTTTGGGGTTTCCTGGTGTGTACACTGAAACAAATCGGCACGGTACGGTTTATTGTATCCATCTCAGAAGGTTTATTCATTCTATGTAATGATTGATGGGTTCCAATAGATTATCAGTTAAAAACTGTGACTGCGATATGGAATGGAGTCGAGTTTCGAACGCCTTTGGATACGGTTGTGTCTTAAGTTTCTTCTCTGTTTTGTGCGTGCATTAGCTTTCATAGTTTTCGGCTGCATTTGTCGGATTAGCGCTCGCTTTCCGAGAAGTTTTAGAATCGAGAAAGAAAACATGATTCATCATGTTTGCAAGCAACAGAAGATTTGACGCTATCTGCGTTGTTTGATTGAGTGTCGGAGATTGTAAGTAATCTGAAGGATGCATCGCTGGATACGCCCAAGACTGGACGGGCAGAAGCTGGTGGCCGTGAACAGTTCTTGGGGAAAGCACTAGATGCGACCCTCCTCCCAGATGACCATGGCAATACAGGAAGTATTGGTATTGGAAGGTAATTGCTATGCGATATTTTTGCAAACATTGACAGATAGCGGACATCAAGAACCAGTGGAGGTGCCGGGCAAAGGTGTTATATCCTAGACAAATGGTAAGTTACAAATTCACTGTTGTCGTTGTTGTAAACGCCGTCGTAGTCGTAGGCAGTACCGTTAGTATATTTAAAATTAACCACCAATCGCTGAAAATATGAATTATTGCGTATTTCTATTGTTCATTACATGCCAAGTGAAATTCGAGAACGTAATTTCATTTGAATAGCTTGTTCAACTAGGTCTTAAACAATCGTCACGTCGGTCATAGCTTGTTATGATTACCTGAACCATGCGTAAAGAGAAAATCGAAACATTTAACGTCGCGTGAAAATGGATCTTAATGAAGGCCTCTTTCATAGCTTTTAGTTTAAGGATTTCAAAGATCGTCGGTTGCAGTGGCTTGCTTACTGAGCAGAAAAACGCGGTCCCAGATCCTTTCATATTAAAAATGTATGGTTAGATCGCTTGTTTATCGAATATTTCGTAAAACTTTTCGTTGTCGTCGGTGCTGGGTCTGAATAGTCATAAAAACTTGAGTAACGCTATAATGTGATATGAGGGGCTCGGCGGCCTTAGAGCAACCGGTTTTGCTTACTGAGCAGAACATCATGAGTCTAATCTCAAGCCCATCCACATTCAAGATTCGTCAATCGTTTTATTTGTCAACATGACTACATGGTAATAACAGCAACTCGATGATAAAAAAAGGAGCCTTGTGGCAAACGTTTTTTCTTACTGAGCAGAAGACCGTGGGTTCAATCCCAAGCTCGTTCACGTTATATGATTTATAGGACATCAATTCAGCTTATCGTTTACCAAAACGAACCCTAGTGCACACCCAACCCAACCCTTTTACCAAACATCCCAGTAATTCCTCGTGGAAGTGCAGAGGTTTTCTCGGCTTCCATCAAAGCGAGTGTCACGTCAACACATTCCTACCCCTTCCTTTCTTGACCTGTGTTCGGGCGCGGCCGGCGCTGGTATTGCCTAGTTTGAGATCACCAGTTTTTACACATTGAGGATGATTGCTAGCCCCAAGCATCGCCTATATTGGTTCTCTGTGTAATTACAGCTGGTCTGGCAATAACAGAGTAGCAACCGTGGGCGGTCAATCATGCTCATGCTCATGCTCATGCTTACCTATCTGAAATTTAAATGAAGCTCCTGTCCTTCAATTTCCTTGAAATTATCGCGATTCTTCTGATGTTTTCGGTATTACCCTGACATGAACCAGCCCGGAAAACCCTTAAATTTCTCTGAAATTATCTGAAAGTTTTTTAAAAGTTCCTTGAAATTCCCGGAACTTCACACGGGTTCTTGTTTTTTCCCTGAAGTTTATGGAACTGTCCTGAATTTATCGGAACTTCGCTTACTGATTTTAAAACTTCCCTAAAAATCTGTACTTCCCTTAAGCTTTCGAAGCTTCCCTGAACAGTACCGTATTAAAGGTAAGGCGATGGTGGGCTATGGCCAGGGACTCCAATTTCAATGAAGTGCGCGCGATATTCATTCCACACTTCAGGTTGATGCAAGGTTTTTATCTCAAGATGGCAGGATGACAATTATTTTAAAGACCACCAATAAATCGAAGATATCAATAAAGTCTTCTGGAATTCAAACAAATAAAAGAAAATGCAGATTATATCTTCCATCCCTCTTTACATGCCACATTGGCAACTGACAGGAAGAAAACTACCATGTTTGTTAATCTATTACCCAAATTTGGGTAATAGATTAACAAACATGGTAAGAAAAAAAAAACACTGAAGATTGAGTTTAAAAAACTCAAAAATTAAAAAAAAAAATTAAAAAATATGGTTTTAACTTAATTTTGGATAAAAATCATAGCAACCTGCGCTGCCTTTCATGCTCTCATTTTTGTGTGCTTCATCACCTTCGTTTGTGGATTACTCAAAATTGAGTTTTTATCTTTAATTTAATTTTACCCCATGGAAGCCACATGATGAGTGAAAGTGAAGTCAATTTTTAAACAAACTTCAAAGTACCCATTATTGGGTAAAAAAGTCCTATTTAAAAGAAAAGTGGGTTAACTCATTAAATAAGCAATTTGTTTACCCATTAATGAGTATCTTTTTCCCATTAATGGGTAACAGTTACGCATTAATGAAAAAAAAACTTCTAATACTAGTTTAGCCACTTTTCTTCAAAATGGAACTTTTTTACTTATTGATTGGTACTTTCAAGTTAGCGTGTTGGGTACCTCGTTCCCCAGCAACATGTGAAAAGGCATACATACCAAATGTAAGCAATGCATTTAAACGTCGGTTGTTCCAGAATTGCAACAAGCCCACTCAATTAATGATAATTAGTTCATTTGTTGTTGATTGTCATTGACTTTCAATGTGATATGAGTAATGTCATGTTGTTTCGACTTTGTTTTGTAACAAATATGTTTATCGATACCAGAATAAGGTATCGCATAATATACAGCTTTTCTTTTCCTCAATTGAATTTTGATTTTAGCTGCAGATCCTTTATTCCATGGTAAATTTTAAACTTGTAAATATGGGGAAAAATATGAGGATGCTCATGGCCTACGGAATTCACCTATATTACTCGTCAATAGAACTGTTGTATGTTAAATTTCAATAGAATTAGAAGCCACATAAGTACATACCCCTCCCAATTCACCATCCACGCGGCCAGAACCCGGTGAGAAAATTTGAATTACCGCTTCCCAATGAAACCACACGCACCCGAAATTGCAAACCCAAGTCACAAATTTTGTCAGCTGATTGCAAATGCATTAAACATAACCACCAGCTCCAGCGTCCGTTGGATCTAACAAACGATTCCACACAGCTCAGACGCGTTCTAATTCTGTTCATGTTCGCTCTCTTTTCACTCACTTGCAGAACCCATCACAACGATAGTCGGTGGTCCGGATCTGTACATCGACACCGGTTCGACGGTGAACCTGACCTGCATCGTGCGACATCTGCCGGAACCGCCACCGCTGATTTTGTGGACGCACAATGGCGAGGTGAGTACAAGCACGATACGAACCCTTCACCCGCAGCATCCGCATGGTGTGTTGTGACCTTTTGCTCTGATTTAGTTTGGACGTCAATCACTCACACATCACACATTCATGTTACCGCTATAGCTATGCGGCTCTGCAGAGCCCAGCTGGGTACCGTAGGAGCCACAGATTGATTTCTCTAGCACCGGACAACCAGAACGGACGAACACTGACCGAACGTGACACGTTAACTATCAGGTGATCAGCAAGCAAATTTGACTCATGGCACCGTTGGAGGTAGTTCCGAATTCTTGTTTTCCATTAATTGCACGACATTGGGTTCATCCTACTCTGAAGGTTCGCTCCAAACTGCGCTGGACACAAGTTGTAGCGAAAGCATTATCGTTCCGAAAGGATTTCGTTGACTTTGCAGAGAAATTTTCCAGCTTACCGCATTAGCTGCGGAATAACGACGACTTGGACGTGGTGGGACATTAGCAGCTGCATTTATTGCAAAGAATGACCGACTGGTAGATGGTGGTGGTGGTGGTGGAAATTAAGTCGATTAGCAGGGTCTAAACTACAGCTTTCGTTTGCGATGAAATTCGTTCGGGGGAGCCGGAATAATCACATTATTGTTGTGGACGAATAGTGGTCCTTGAGTCCACAGCCATGTCATGTGATGTCATTCGTTTTTGTCATTTACCATCACATGCCATCACAAGCGTTTCAATCCATTGTGGAAGAATTGCGTTTATTTTGAAAATTTTCACTGTTATGTACGAGTAAAATAACAAATAAGTTCAGTATTCATCGACGAATTAGGTTCTGCAGCGTTCATCGAAAGAGCTTTTTGACAGTTCAGTGGCACTGTTAACAGGCACTTAGATTTTTTTCGGAAAACATAATTTTAAACCCTCCGAATTTTTATTTGAAAAATACCGAGATTTTCCAAAAATTAAGATTTTCTAAGGGTAATACCCCGTTAATTTAAAAACCGGTGTATATTTCAAAAGAAGTGGGTCACCAGTCCAAATAACTTCACCGAAGAAACCTACCCTCAAAAACGTCAATGAAGATGAGAAAAGACTTTGGACCGTATTTTTTTCCAGAACAACCCCACTGTGCGACGGTGCAAAACCTTATACGCGTTTGTTGTTCTTCATTATTGCTTGTGTTTCAAACCCAAAATAGTCAGTCGGAAGCGATCCACAACGGCAAAAAAAAAACAAATTCATTTCGACAAAATGATTATTTTGAATGTCATCGAGTAAAGCAGTACCCAAATAACATGGCAAGTTTTATCGAGGTTTAACCCTCCGTTACTCGCGCCAACTTTTGTAACACGAGTACTCGCGCGTTGTACTTTGTACAACAGTGTGAGTTTTCCATTTCCATTTTACAGCCGAGCTACCAATCGATATGAAACCAACGGGTATTCCTTAAAAAACTTGATTTTAACAAAACAAGCTAAACTTTGATCACAGTTAACCCGCAAAAAATGCGGATAATAGAGAAAATGTGAATGCAAACCGCGTAAACGGTGTGGAACATGGAAAATCTCGAGATCCCGACCAGATAGAAAGTTGCTGTTTTCGGCAAAGTTGTTTTAGAGATCATAACCTTTTCGCTGGTGGAGAGTAGTTCAGAATTTTCTCACTACGTAGCACTAGAATACATGTGAAATTATCGCATGTGATATATCTCGAGATCATGACCAGATAGAAAGTTACTGTCATCGACAAAGATGTTGATGAGATCAAAGCCTATTTCTTGGTGCACAATAGATCAAAATTTTCTCAATACGCGGCGCTAGTATACACGTGAAATTTTCATATAAAATATCTCGAGATTCTGACCAGATAGAAAGTTACTGTCTTCGGCAAAGTTGTTCCGAAGGTCAAGGCTTTTTCGTTGATGTACAGTAGTTCAGAATTTTTTCACTTCGTGGCGTTAGTATACATGTAAAATTCTCGCATGTATAAAATATCTCTAGATCCTTACCAGATAAAAAGTTACTGACTTCGGCAAAGTTTTTAAGGAAGCCAAGATCTTTTTGTTAGAGGAGTAGTTCAGAAAATTCTCACTACGTGACGCTAGTTTATACGTGCAATTTTCGCACATACAATAGCTCGAGATCCTGAGCAGATAGAAAGTTACTGTCTGCGGCAAACTTGTTCAGGGGGTCAAGTATTTTTGGCTGGTGGACAGTAGTTCAGAAGTTTTTCACTGCGCGGCGCTAGTATACACTTGAAATTCGTATATAAAATATCTCGAGATTCTGACCAGATAGAATGTTCCTGTCTTAGCCAAAGCTGTTCAGGAGATCATAGCCGTTATGGTGGTTAATAGTAATTCAGAATCTTCTCACTAGGTAGTGCTCGTGTGCATGTTTAGTTCTGGCATGTGATACATAACTAGATCCTGACAAGATAGAGAGTAAATGTCTTTGGCAAAGTTGTTCAGGAAGTCAAGATCTTTTTGTTGGTGGACAGTTGTTCAAAATTTTCTCACTACTCGGTGCTAGTATACACATGCAATTCTCGCATATACAATAGCTCGAGATCCTGAGCAGATTGAAAGTTACTGTTTTCAGCAAAGTTGTTCAGGGGGCCAAGGCCTATTGGCTGGTGGACAGAAATTCAATTTTTTTTTTCACATCATTGCGCTTGTATACGCGTGCAATTCTCGCATTAGATATGTTTCGAGACCTGTTAAACTGTCATCGGCAAAGTTGTCCAGGAGATCAAAGCTTTTTCGTTGGTCGACAGTACACAGTTTTCTCACTACGCGGCGCTAGAATATACGTGAAATCTTCGCATATATAATATCTCGAGATCCTGAACAGCTAGAAATTTTACTGTATTTGGCAAAGCTGTTAAGGAGATAAAGATATTTTGGCTGATGAATTAAATTGAACCAAATTAATGTTTAAAGTCTCCCTTTTAGCTTAGACTAATTTCAAAATGATTTTTTAGAGGGATCTAGAACAAAAAAAAAATCCCTGTATTTACGTGTGAGCGGACAACGAGACTAACTCAGAGAGTGAGGCACTTTTGCTCAGTTGAATGGAGAAATTTATAAAACCGTACACTCCCGATCATAAGTTAAAGGACACTCCCTAATAACGTCAGATTTTCGTTCTTTTTAGAACATTTGAAAGATTTTAAATGGAAATACGAAGAGGCAAATTGCTCAATATCATTTTCAAATTTTGTATACCAAAAGTTCACACAAAGTTACAATATTTTTTTGATTTTTTCAGAATTGACTTGAAAAAAAAACATTTGAAATTAAAAAGTAGCAGTAGAACCCTTATGCAACACCATTCATACCATTCAAATAACCTAAGAAGATCAAAAATTGGACGTAAAATGAGAGAGCTTTGAACAAAACACATTTGCATGTTCACCATCCGGAAGAACTTTGCCGCATGTACAATTTTGACGACGAAAGTTACTTCCTGACCTTAAGCTATAGCATATACAAATATTTTACATGCACACTAGCGCCACATACCGAAAATTTTCTGAACTATTTACTGTTCACCAGCAAAACAGCTTTGATCTCCTAAACAACTTTGCCGAAGACAGTAATTTTCTAGCTGTTCGGGATCTCGAGCTATAGAATATATGAGGATTGCACATATATACTAGCACAGCGCAGTGTGCAAAATTCTGAACTACTGTTCCCCAGCCAAATGACCATGACCCTCTGAAGAACTTTGTCGAAGACAGTAACTTTCTATTTGGTCAGGATATCGAGATATTTTATACGTGGAAATTTTACGTGTACACTAGCGCTGCATAGTGAGAAAATTCTGGAACATTGTGCACCAAAAAATAGGCTTTAACCTCCTGAACAACTTTGTTCTTGACAATAACTTTCTATCTGGTCAGGATCTCGAGATATATCACAGGCGAGAATTTCACATTTCACTTGAGAAAATTTTGAACAACTGTCCTGCCCATAATCGCAAGTCAGTCCCATCTGTAAAAAACTGGAAATGAGAAAACGGCGTTCAAAGATTTTTCAAGTTTTTTGATTGGACACTTATGTTGAAGGGATAAATTTAAAAATAAACGTACATTGTGATAGAATGCATCTATGTTTACCCAAAAATATTGGAAAAATATAGTTAAATTTTTATTTTATGGCCAAAATCTGAGCGGGACTGACTTGCGATTACATTTAACGTGAATGAGAAAAATAGCCACAAGTCAGTCACAATTCCATGACGATGCTGCATTAGGTTAGCACAGTATTGAACAGTAGAAAGATACCATGGTCCCATAGAACGTTATTGAATGTTTCTGAATTTGTTGCGCTGGTTCCAGAGCAATGGCCGAAACATACTCCGTTGAGTATGGGTCTTCATCAGACCAAAGCTTTTCATAAACGTGCCAAACCCACCATGCGATAAATCAGACCCCCTTCACTCTTTGGAATTTATAGAGACAGATAACAGCGCCAATAGGTTTATGACAATACAACGTTGAACTACAGCGTTGGAAGAAAACACACTCACCAACATCTATGCATGTACGAACCCACACCACTGAGCGGATGGTACAGTGCAAATCAAAACACGAAGCGATATCATCACTCATCGTCATCACTCAGCTTTGGCAGCTACAGTTTGCGATTTCGCTGGTGTTGACAAATACCTTCTTTATAAAATAGGAAAGTAATCATTATTCCAACGTAATTTTTGAATAGAATGCGTGTAGCGGTAGCCAAAGAAGACGGCATATTTTATTACGTTTGTTTAGCAATGATTTTGATACGTTGCGTTTTTCGAAGTATACTTCTATGCTAATAAAGATTATGTTGAGCAACAGATTCACAAATCATCAATTTTCGATTACTTTGTCGAAAGCACGTATCTGCTATTGTAAACAATGCATATTACTGATACCGGTGGTGATATTGGAAAACTCGTTCACTCGAAAGCAAAACATATTACAAGCCCCGTTTCTGTTGCGTATAACGTGGTTATGATTGAAAATCGATGCAATCAC